AGGCTAGTGAGTTCAGACTCAAAAGTAATGTTAAGCAAGAGTCAGTGACATAGGACTAAATCGATCGTCCTGATCTCCCCTTCCTTCATTTTTTAAATGTTTGTTACTCTCTTGTAACAGCTCTAATCTTCTGGCACTCATATGACATACGCAGTTATGAGCGCCGTAAAACCTCTACTAAAACTAAAACTAAACATAGGGCTAAGGTGGGCAGACACTGGGGCGTGTCCTTGAGCAAGACACGACAATCTAATTTAAGAAAACAGGTTCATTTATCTTGCTTTCGATGAAAAAAATATCCATTTATCTAGAATACAAGTTGAGATATTTGAGAATAAAGAAGGTGGGGGTCACCTGGTTTCAGGGGTAAAATTAGTGAGAAATGGCCGCCAAAGATGAGTTTCTTTAGCTTGAGAGTCCGTGGAAACTGAAAATTTATATTTTTGTGTGCCTTTAATCAACGTTTTTCAGTAAAATCCACACAGAAATCTGTTCTTTAATGGACATGAAAGGTGTTACGCCAATGATAGTACATAACAAGATGGGCCACTTCTCTCTTTGAGCCAATTAAAAAAGTGTCCTCAAAATTTGGTGGCGCCCTCTTCACAAAAGCGCACTCTTTGCGAACAGAGTTACCCTACTTGAGTTCTAAAAAAATCAAAGTGAAACTAGCAAGTTTTGGGATAAATTTCGGAAGAACGCTTTTTTAAAATGGTTACGCTGACAAAAAACCTCTTCCGGAGGAAAGGGTGATGGTTTTCTTTGTTTAATTTGACTTTAGAATGAAAGGCGAGAGGTCATTAAAATTCTAAAAAACTAAAACTCCGCACTGAACGTACCCGAACTGCTGATGAACAGCAGTCGATCTGCGCACGCAAGGAGGTGCTATTCCTATTCTTTTTCTGGAAAAACGAAAGAGAGCTTCAAAACAGACTGCAGCGCCATCTGAAGCAAAGAGCATACTTCCTGCGGACACTTTTTTGGCTGAGTGGCCCATCTTGTTATTCACTATCTTTGGTTACGCCAAAAAACAGAAATTCAATAAAAATTCACAAACCTGCGGGAAAATGCCAGTTTCTTTATTTTGATTACTTTGACGAGCGCCTTATTTCACCACGCTGCCTCACAATTGTGTATTTATGTATACGTACCCAAATTTCCCTACGGAGGTCAAAAAAATAAAATTTATTTAGTATTCTAAAAGTTTGGGCTCATTACATCTGAATAGCTGGTCGACCTTATGTAACAACTAAATCATTCCGCTGCTTGGAGCGAGTCTCTTACCAAAGTAGAACACTGGGAGTATAGGCAGGTTCACAGCCGGATACCCATAGCCCAGTCCTTCAAACTGAAAAAGAGAAAGCAATGTAAATGAATTTGTTACTTTTTGAAAAAAGTATTTCTGAAGTAATATGAATCTAGACCTAGTTAAATTTTAGCAACATAACAATAAAAACAGACTTTCATGCATCCCATAGGCCTACTGTGTAGTATTACAACGTAATAGCCTTAGGCTACATGGTATCAAGCAGAGAGGTGAATATTTCACAGCCGCCAGATCGACAACAAAACAAACAGCAACAACAAATAACGGGGGCTCTCGTGGCCTAGAGGTTAAGGTGTTGGCCTCTCATTCAAAGGTCCCGGGTTCGAATCCGGGTAGCGACCGAAATTTTTTTTTCTCTAAAATTGTCTCCTTTCACCTCCTTTCCTGCTCTCTAGCAATATTCTATTGTCTGCTTTCATTTCCACTTTCTGCCCCCGCCCCCTCACCTCCTTTGCCCCCTCCTCTGGGCTCCTGACTCTTTCTGCAGCCTTTCTACTGCTACTCCTTAGCTCCTCCTTACTGCTGTCTTTCTGCCACACCCCTGATCTTTTGGTAAGAAAGATCTACACCTAGCCTTCTCGGACAAGGGTGAAAAATCTCGGAGGGCCCGTGTGCAAGTTGCGCACATTAAAGATCCCTTGGTGGTCTAAAAGCGATAAGAGTAGGCTTCGGCCGCCACCCGGGCAAAATTCAAAATTTCCTACCAACTGAAAATATTAGGTGTGTCCCGCGCGCTCATATGACCTATGCAGTTGCGAGCACCGTAAAACACTTTACAAAAACAAAACAAAAAACAACAAATAACAACAACAACAACAAAAACAACAACAACAACAACATTTACAATATTTTACAAAATAAAGTAAAGATGCTCAGATGCTCAGAGTAGAATAATCTAAAGCCTTTAAAATCAAAGGAAGCTAATGGGTTTAGAATGAACACAGCAAAAAACATGTAAAATTCTTACCAGAGGACGAAAAAATTCAAAATTATTCACAGGTTTGTCGTCTGAGATGAAGTACGCTCTTCCAGCCTGAACATTGAAAAATAAACCCACATTGTTAGCGAAATTTTGTAAAATAGGCCTACAATGCAATGTATTATACACCAATATTAACTACATGAAAGACGTCCAAGAAAGTCTAAGAAAAGTCAACAGCTATTGAAGTAATGAATATTCAATGGTACGCCCTATTCATCATCATCCTGTGCCAGATCTGCGATAGACATCGGCGATTACAGTTCTCCATTCATTCCTATTTAATTAGGCGCTATTAGATGAGCTAAAAACATTTGAAAGGTTTATCAAATACACATTCTATTAGTCTTGTCAAACGTTTTGAAGTTCAAATGAGAGTAAAGAGCTGAAATAAATGGCCTTATAAAGCCTTCTTGAAATAAGGTGACCCTTCAAGATACCAGGGTATCTCAACACACGGACCACTGATATTGTATCTGCTGTGTGACATTGTAGGCTTACCGTTCAGGAGGGGAAGTAATACTTAAATATCTCTAAGCAAAATTGAATTAAACTTGGTTGTCTCCCTGACATAAGAATGAAGGCGCAGTCTCAAAAATCAACAATCAAAACAGCGTGCCCACTGTGTGCCCAACTTTATTTGTACCAGATTATCCACGTTGATAGAAATACAGAGAGAGATAGATAGATACATAGATAGGTAGAGAGAGAGAGAGAGAGAGAGAGAGAGAGAGAGAGAGAGAGAGAGAGAGAGAGAGAGAGAGAGAGAGAGAGAGAGAGAAGAAATGAAGATAGATAGATAGATAGATAGATAGATAGATAGATAGATAGATAGATAGATAGATAGATAGATAGATAGATAGGATGATGAACAGACAGTCAGCCATGCAGGCAGGCAGGCAGGCAGGCAAGCAGACAGACAGACAAGCAGATAGACAGAACGAAAAGGGAGACAAAAAGAACAATAAACAATCAGGCCAGACGAACTACTGGCTCAACAAACTACTGACCGCCACATAGCTCCTCCCCTCAACAAACTACTGACCCCCACATAGCTCATCCCCCTAAACAAACTACTATATTACAGACAGCCACATAACTCCTCCCCCTCAATAAACTAGCTCCTCCCCTCAACAAACCACTGACAGCCACATAGCTCATCCCCCTAAACAAACTACTATATTACAGACCGCCACATAGCTCCTCCCCTCAACAAACTACTGACAGCCACATAACTCCTCCCCCTCAATAAACTAGCTCCTCCCCTCAACAAACTACTGACAGCCACATAGCTCCTCCCCCTCAATAAACTAGCTCCTCCCCCTCAACAAAATACTGACAGCCACATAGCTCCTCCCCCTCAATAAACTAGCTCCTCCTCTCAACAAACTACTGACCGCCACATAGCTCCTCCCCTCAACAAACTACTGACCGCCACATAGCTCCTCCCCTCAGTCAGCCCCTCAGCGGCCAGGGCGTGGGCCTGTACCAGGTTGTCCACGTGCAGAAAGTCCACCAGCGACTCGCGGGGTCCGTACGTCACCTTGACCAGACCCTGCTCCAGGTACGACTGTCGGAGAGTAAAATATTTAATACTATATGAATAAATAAGAGGTAAATGAATAAATTATTATGAATAAATGAATAAATAAGGAATGAATGAATAAATTATAAATACAAATAAATGAATAAATTCCACTTTATTGATCGTCTGTGGCTAATAATAAGAGAGCCTTATAAAACTAATGATGCTGAATGTAATAATAATAATAATAATAATAATAATAATAATAATAATAATAATAATAATAGTAAAAAAAATTCTAGCAATAATATTAATAATAATAATAATAATAATAATAATAATAATAATAATGATGCTGATGATGCTGTTAATAAAAATAATAATGATAATAATAATGGTAATGACAATGACAGAACAATAGCAATAACAATAGCAATAAGAATAACAATATGAATAATGATAATAATAATATAAAAATAATAATAATGATAATAATAATAATAATAATAATAATAATAATAATAATAATAATAATAATAATAATAATAGTAATAATGTATGTCTGTCTGTCTGTCTGTTTGCCTGTCTGTCTGTCTGTCTGTCTCTCTCTCTCTCTGTCTTTCTCTCTCTCTCTCGTACCCGTCTCTCCCTCTCTCAAAATTCACACACACAACACACACACACACACACACACACACACATACACACACACACACAGACAAACAAACACATACACAAACAAACTAATAAATATACGCCACTCGCCCTCTCAGGCGCTCCTGCTTGATTCTATCACATCTTTCTCAGAGCCACGAACAAAAATACACTGTACCATCATATAGGCCTATACGTGGAAACATGCTGAGAACAATATTTGGATGTTTGCGAAATATTATTTCAGGGATTTGAGGGGAAAAAAGGTGGAAGGGGGGGGGGGGGGCTCAATGTAACGTATATATCTATCATAAACATTGTACAAGAGTATTCATGTCTTTTGTGCTTGTCTAACATTCAAGGCCTGTCAAGAAACAAAAAAAGTTCCTTTAACATTTTCCAGTATTTGGCCAAGTGGTTAGAGTTATACAGAAAGAAGGAGAAGGGAGTAAGGAAGGCAGAAAGACAGCGCAGCAAGCTAAATATCAGACATCCACATCGCAGCAGGATGTTACACGCTCCCTTTAGTGCCACCTACCTTCTCTCTCTCTCTCTCTCTCTCTCTCTCTCTCTCTCTCTCTCTCTCTCTCTCTCTCTCTCTCTCTCTCTCTCTCTCTCTCTCTCTCTCTCTCCCCTTCTGACTGGCGAGGAGGAGTGTGAACTCCAAACCAGTGAGAGGAGAGGAGAGGAGAAAAGAGGAGAGAACTGGGGTGGGGGTGGTTGAGGGAGAGGGAGGAAATGACCTAGACATAATGTCACACCTACATCCAGTTCACATAAAACACAAGCGTGAACAACATGACGAGCTGAACAATGTCGGTGTCTTCTTTGGGACACAGGGCTTATCTTTGACAATCCTTGAGGAAATAAAAATCCAGACAGAAGCCAGCCCCTAATATGTAACATTAATGAAAATGACGTGATTAACGTAATAAACCTGACCTGTCCTCGAGTTGCACAACCATTGTTGGGGAAAAGGGCTC